ACCCCTTCTGTAGCATTCCTGCCAAAAGTGCATAATTTGAATCTAATTGTGAAGCGATATCAGACAAACCCAAATGGAGGGGTAATTCTAGAAGTAAACAGCCTGTTCTCTTCAAAAATGTCAGTGTCACATGAAACACACAGAAAGACTGAGGAACTATTCCAGATTAAAGAAAACAAAAGAGGGGACTTCCCTGGTGGCACAGTGGATAAGAACCCGCCTGCCAATGCAGGGGACACAGGTTCGATCCCTGGTCCAGGAAGATCCCACACGCCGCAGAGCAACTAAGCCCACGTGCCCCAACTACTGAGCCTGCGCACCAGGCTCTACAACGAGAAGCCACCGCAAGGAGAAGCCTGCACACCGCAATGAAGAGTAGCCCATGCTCTCCACAGCTAGAGAAAGCCCGTGCAGCAACGAAGACCCAACGCAGACAACAACTTCTAAAAATTTTAAAAATTTAAAGAAAAAGAAAGCAGACAAACAATTAAAACATATGATCCAGCATTTTCTTTTACTAGAAAGTGCATTAATTTGAGCCAATGGCAAATTTAGAATAAATCAACAGATTAGATAATGGTATTGTATTATGTTAGTTTCCTGGTTTTAATCATTGTACTGTGGGTATATAACAACATATCCTCTTTTTCAGAGAGAACACTGAAGTATTTAGGGGTAAAGGGAAAGCCACCATGTCTGCAACTAGCTCTCCAACAGTACAGACAGAAGTAATATGCATCTATTTATTTATCTAAATCTATCTACACAGAAAGAATGATATAGCAAATAATGCAAAATAACATTTGAGGACTCTAGAGGAAGGGTACACAGAAATTCTTTGTACTCTCCTTGCAACATTTCTGGGAATCTGAAATTACGTCAAAAGAAGTTAAAAGAAAAATAATAAATTAAATTTATGCCTGACTTTGTCTCAGCTGTTAGGGACTACTGGACTTCCAAATAAAAATTCTGCATGGAACTTTTGTACTTTCCTGACTGACGTAGGCTGCACCTTTGACCGAGCAGGAAATTGCCACAGCAAACATGCTTACTGAGGAGCAGCGAGAAAATCCAATAATTCAGATTGTTTTAAGTCTGTGATATTTTTAAATGACTTAATACAGTAGGTCTCTGAAGAATTCTGACAATCTTAATGGTAGAAACTTGCAGTCCCACTGAGGAATGGGTTGCTACATAAATACTGAATGATCATGTCTTTCTGTCTGGGCTGAAACATATTAGCTTTGCTTAGTGGCTTATTGCTTTATTCAAAAAATAAATTTCAGCCATCTCTCCCCACCATATTCCAAGCGCATCGTGCGCCTGTGCCTTATTAGACGTGGGGGCTTATGTTCCAACGGCATCTGTTACCATCTCAGGCTCAGCGATAATGAATTAAGCAGTTAAGTGTTTACCCCCTGAACGGAGTTAGCTGAGGGAATGATATTATTATGGGTGGTCCTTAATGAAAGACCAAGAAACCAGGAAACTCAGGCTTTTTCAGCCAACAATCAGCCTTGGATTTGGGAACTAAAGTACTAGAATATTAAATATTTTTGAGAAAAGCTGTTTTGCGTGTTCCTAGCACATTCTCCCTGCCACAAACACACATGTACTCAGATATACAAAAACTTAAGCAGGTTCCTGGTTGATTCCTGATTGTCAAAGACCCACACATCAAGATAAGTATTTTAAAAATTACAATGGCAAAGAAGACACCCTCTTCCCACCCCAGAGGAAGCAGAGGGTGGCTTGGGGCAGCCCATCCTGAAAGCACAAGCAGACCGAGAGCCAGATCCTTTAGGAAATTCAAAAACTGTGCAAGAATCCCAGGGAAGATAATGGCAGGTCCTTAGCCACGAACATAATGATATGCGAAATCTCCAGCATCAAAGCTGAAACAAAAGAAAATGTCCTTCAGTAGCTCTGCACTGCCCACCGCAGCTGTCAGGCAGGAAGAAAGACAAGTAGACACTCCAAATTCATCTGGAAGTTTTCTAGCCCTGGGAGAGGAGAAAGGGATATGGGAGTGTCTGGCTGACACCTGCAGGGGTGTGTCCCTGGAAGTTGGCCCATGGTTAGGTCTCAGATCCAGAGGCTGAAGTAACTGGCCACAGAACCAAGCCAGCAGTTCCTTATGTGCAAAACACTTGACACAATGCTGTCAACCACTACCATTATTAAGCACCTACTGGCTGTTGGACGCTTTATAAAGAAATCATTAGCATAACATAGTGCTTAGGAGTGCGACTCTTGGAGGCAGAGTGTCTAGATGTGAATTCCAGCTAGTCA